GAGGGTAAATGTAGAAAAAGCACTGTTCATCCTAAATATGTCACCTGCAGCTTCTGCAAAACTCACAGCAAGATCTTCATTCTATATCAGATAAGGGTATGTGCAACTAATATATCTTATGATAAATGATTTGTAACCTTTCACCAGCCTGGTGAACAGGAGAAACACCCTAGAGCCAGGAATGTAGACTAATCAATAAATGCACAGAGGTGTAAATTAAGCAGATTGAAAGAGGAAGGAGAAATAGCTCAAATGAGAAATCCAAGTAAAAGGAAGGAATGCCCCTGAGTTCTGTTTGGGTGATAAGGTGCAGTGTTTGATCACAGAGATCCAAGAACTTGGAGGGACAAGTGGGATGGAATTTGGGCACAGCAGGTATAAGGTGGGGCCTGGAGTATAGTTATTATCATTTTTTTTACAAAGGGCTGGAGATAAATAAATAAATATAAATGGCTTATATAAAGAGTATGTTTCTATATGCTTTATAAATTGTATATACAATACATAAGGATTAGAAGGGGAACTAAATTCAGCACGCTAGCTGAAACTCTGAAGTGAGATCATAATTATGCAATTGGGCCCTAAAAAAAAAAAGAATTGTTATTTACTATGAAGCTTCATTTATTATTAAAGTGATCTCTGACTGACCCAGCAACGTTGAATATTTCATTCTTTTAGGATTCACAAATTATTAAACAAAATGAACTGGCACCTTTCACCCCACAGTACTGTAAGAGCTTCTGAGACATGCTTTACACTATGATGTAAGGGTTGGGTTGGAGACTAGTGATGCTAAAATCTACAGCAATGAAAATTAATTTCTTTTTTCAAAATAATAACCAGTATCCCTTTGCAAGCAGTACGAGCTGCATTAAATGGCCTCTGTCTCACATAAAACATATTACACTTCACCAACCTTGTTAAGACAAGCAGTGCTACAATTATTCGTTAAGAAAGGCAGCTAGCTGAGGTCTGGCAACTTTCTCTAGAGGGGGCATTCCAATGCACTGTAATGCATGCCCAGTGCTGTAAATGCAATGCAGCAAGTCCTCCTTTTACACCAAAAAGCTAAACAGTAAATACACTTCAATAGCACATTCAAGGGCAAGAGAAGGGGTTTTAGCCAGGTCTCTGAAACACACATCAAAGACATTCAAGTACATCATTTAATGCACTTAGGTTAGAACAAATATTCTAATTTCAGTGAACAACGAATTGCTAAAAAAAAACCCAAAAAACAAACAAAAAAAAACCTTGAAAAAATTGGGACTTCATTGGTAAAATAATAGAAAGAAAACTAAAGAAATAGAAGCAATTCAGAGGCAGAACTCTGATGATGCTGACTAGACAAAGCTGCTTGTTTATCTACAGCTTCAAAATGTTAGCATGTTCCCATTGTTAGGTTAGACTCTTATAATTTTTGGATGTGACCACTTTTATCTTTCCTTAAATAGTAGTAAGAAACAAAGAAAGTTGTTAAGGCAGTGTGCCAGTGTACCAATTTCACTTTCAAGGTTTTGAGAAACACTAGAAAGTGGGATGCTTGAGGGGTGCCAACATGTTATATACATGTTAGCATCATGTATATGAAACTATACTTTTATATGGTTTGTTTTTCATCAGATATCACTGATAAAAGAGACTGGGAGCAGGAAAAGATCCAGGAATACCAGGACTCCCCAACTCAGTCAGCGTTACCCCATGTTACATGGGGCATCTGTGAAACTGAAAGTGACTTCATATATGGGGAAGTGGAGAATCGATTAGATTTACTACAAGAACAACTCAACAGGTAAAAACAGAGATATGACCAAAAAAAAGATTTGTGTGAAAGAGTACAACTGATATTAACGATGCTACAGGAGGAATGAATTTGCACAGGAAGTTTCCAAAAGCATTCAGATCTTCAGAAGCTCAAAAGTACAAAAATATGCCTGACAGGAATATAATTTTTTTGTCTATATGTATTCTGAGGACCCTAAATATCACCTAAGTTCAGTCTTCCAGATTCTCAAAAAAACCTATTCTGGGATTGCTGGGTACAAAATTTTTAATTCATTGCCAGAATATTCATGCCACTTTTACCTCTAGGTACCCACATTAGCTACTCTGACTTGCCTTGCAGAAGAGCCTTTCTCCTCAATTGACTGTTTGGATCAACTTTTTAATGAAGAAGCTGTAGTGATGCATGTTAAATTTAAATCTCACCTCACCCAGAATGCTGTTCCCTTAACAGTGATTCCTAGATATTTACATGTCCACAAAATTACAATTTTCAGTATCTTCAATATCTCAAGTACTTCTTCTTTCCTGAAGACCCAAAGTAAAACAGCTGCCTAGTTTAAAAAAGACAAATTCCCTTTTTGATGCATTAACTTATTTTGCAACTGTCTCTATAACGAGTAAGACATGGGAGTATGCAAAGGCAAAATACTTATACCTGTTACAACAGAAAACAGTTGCTTTCTCTGTCAGAATCCGTTATTACCTTTGCTAATAACATGTCTCTTCCTTCTCTCTTTTGCTCTCTGATACACTACTCTGCTGCCAGCTAAGCAGCACAGCTCATAGCATCTTAAAAATATGGTTACAGAATTTTGATCCATCCTACACTATAATTTACCATGTAATTTCACTTAATTTTAAATTGCCCTATGCTCAGGTCTGTGGCTTTTTTATTATTTTCACTCTGCAATTCCATCACTTTCAATATTTTTCCATGACAAATACTATGACACGCACTCAGACCTAATTATACTTTATTAGCTCTTCATTGGCATTCTGTGCTGTGTATTTTAGCAATCAGTTTAAAGCCAGGTTAACTGCATATTGCTTCCTTCACCTACCATAAGCCAATACTATTTTTCATTTCTGAATACTATATAGTACATTAAAAAGACATTTTTAACATGTAAGCCTAAATTGCCATAATTTCTAATTCTAGTCAAGTAATCTAAGTAACTGTAAATGTCACATAACTAAACAGCTGTGTGTTCCCCATCAACAGTGTGTAGTCTTTGGGTTACATTTCCTGAAATCTTAAGCTCTTGAAACTGAAGTCATACCTCAAATTTACCCATAGTTTTATCAAATTCTTACTCAAGTTCTCAATATTTTTTTTAGTGAGAAAATATTGTTGCTGATAAACTAAGATTTAAATTGTTATGGATTTTATTAAATCATTTTATTCTTTAACTCTTCTCGTGTTTTTAAAGCTCTTCATGCTTTTAGGATTTTGGGCCTTGCTGGGTCTTCTATGAATGCAGAAGACAACATTCTGTGCCGCCTATGTCAGATCTGACCTGCTGGACTAAAAACCAGGGTCACTTCTGTCAGACCTTTTCTATGCCAAGTTAGAGGCTTGGCAGAACGCTCAAATTATTAAATTATATAGAAGGCTGGAAAGCCATTGTACGAGGAATATGTCCCTAGAGCTATCTCTGTTTCTCCTCTTTAAGCAATGGGAATTTCATGGAGGCTGTGGGCCAAGCATCTAAGGTTCTGTTTGTTCATCCTTGGGAGGCATGACATGGACTTGTTTTAAATTTTGGAGAAAGGAGGGAGAAGTTATCTATGCAATGATGGTGAATAAAGACTACTAGAGGTACTCTTTGATCTGAAGTACTGGGAAACTCCCATCAAGTGCTAACAAAGGAAGGGAGCAATTTTAGAGTTAATTCAAAGCCAAAGACAATTGTTGATGCAAGTCCTCCAATGCTAAATCTCTTTTATTCACTAGGCTGTTAAAGCCCAGGTTTAGCAGATGGAAGTTCTCCAGATGGTGGCATGCTGCTGCTGCTGCAGTATTTTCCCCTGTGGCATCAGCATCATGCTTGTGTGAGATCAGCACATTTGCAAGTAGCAAAGAACCCAAGGGAGATGAACAAGAGGGCGAGTAGGACATGATTGACTGTAACCTCTGGGCTTGGGCCTTTCTTTATGAGAGCTGATGCCACAAAACCACCTTCTCCCAATAAAGGAAGAAAAAGCATCCTAAATATCCTTTGGGCATACCTTTCAGATTCATTTCATAGATGCTTTTATAAATAAATGACACAAGGAATGGACAACTCCAATATGATAAAAAAATAATATCAAACAGTGAAGCACCTGGTGAAAGCAAAAATCTGTCAGCATAGGATCAATTCTGCTGCTGTAGGGAGCCCAAGTAGTAACATTCACAACATTAAAGGCTGCTGACAAAGATTAGTTTAGTCTGTCAGAAGATGAGTTGCAATAGAAAAGGCTGTATATCTGTATTACAGTCTGTCCTAGCATGTTTTGTAGCATTCCAGCAGCTGCACAGGGACCATAAGCACTACCTAGTGCTGAGTTTGTCATGGATCTTGTAAGACCATTTGAAAATCACTTCAGTGCTATGGAATTGTAAGTATGAAAAACATAAGCAGCTCAAGTGTTTCAGAAGTCATATACAAATTTATGAAAAGGGAAAAAAGATAAAAAGAGACTAGATTTGAACATCAGAAATGTTGACTATAATTCTGAGGCCTGAATAAGTCTGAATAAATTTTCACAGTGGGGAGACTGGGGCTGTTGGGTTTGTTTTCAGTAATCTTGAAAGCATCTTTCATTTTCTAACTGTAGAAAAACACAAATGTGGTTTTCTGCTTATTTCAGTGCATTGTATTAGCATTGGGAATGTCAGAATTAATTGTCAGATGCATCAGAAATAGTGTCCCATCCTCAGCCAGTACAAATCAATTTAGTTACAATGAAGAGAGTACATTTATTACAGTTAATTTCAACGAAAGACCTGGTCCCCCGTGTTACATTTTGTTGCAAACATAAGAGACAGTAATGAACTCATTCTTAATGTAGCAAAAAGATCAGAGACAAGCACGTAGATATGTTCTGCAAAGGAAAGGGACAGCCAGCAAGCTTTGGAAGGGCTCAGTACTCCCTCTTCTGTCCTTTCCTATTTAAGGCATGGTCATGTCACAACAAGCAATAATTTGCCTTATTAATAATAAGCTGCAGGTCTGTCACGATCCAAACTGGGCTGCCCAGGGGGGATGATGGTGGTTCTGTGATTCCCTTGGGCTAAATTAAGGTGAAACGACACCAAATGATCGATTAAGCACTTTATTGATGATAGAAACAGTCTTAACTTGGCAAGCGTAACAGTCGGCATAGTGGTAGGCAATGTGGGTTCTAATTGAAATAATTCTAAGAAGGAAGGGAAAAGAGGGAAGGCGGGAGGGGGGGAAGAGAGAGAGAGTTATCACCACCTTTGGATCCTGCGATGATGATGATAGATGAGGTGATCCTCCAGTGGTGGGTGCACTCCTGGCTTTCTCAGAGTCGTGTCTTTTATAAGCCCGTCTCCGCCTCTCAATTGCATCAAGTCTATCCCCTCGACAATTTATATGGCTCTTGTTCCAGAAAGTTCTCAATCTTCCGTGCAGGTGTCATTGTGGGGGGTGGTCATGAGGGGTCTTTTGGGTGGTCATGAGACCCTTTCTCAAATGAACTCTGTATGGTCTCTGGCCATGTATGGTGAGTTGTGTGGCACACTAGAAATACGCAGCTGCGCATCCTCCGACACGCCTCCCCACGCTCTGCACCAACCGACCTCTCACTTGTGGTTTGGGGTCGCCATGCAGATCTTAACTTGTTTCACCACAACATTTGAGACATCAACCAACCACCACAATGTCTGAGACATCAACATACATTAACTCTTTCAGTCTCACAAGATCCCTCTTGAACGCATCTGTAATCAGTATGTTAAAACATACCTATTCCTGACTATGAGTTAACTGATTTTGTGTTACTTCTCTAGGCTTGAATCCCAAATGACTTCTGATATCCAAACCATCCTGCAGCTTCTGCAAAGACAGTCAACACTCATTCCACCTGCCTATAGCATGGTGACTGCAGGTGCAGACTGTCAACAGCCAGCAATCCGGGTGATACAAAAGCTTCAGCCTGCAGCATCAATTAAAACAGACAGAAGTTTCAGTCCTTCATCTCAGGTATGTATATGTCCAGTAAGATCAAAAGAGGTTTGCTGATCTTTTTAGCTTATGATGGGAGAAATGCATACCAATCTAGGTTCTTGTTCACTAGTTTAAGGAACATGAAATTGTTTTTTTGACCTAGCACCTCTACAGTGGTATCTTAGATACCAGTCTCAAAGGCCCCATTTTCTGTTTGGGTTGTAGAGATCCATACAATGATCTTATAATCAGACTGATTTACTTAATTATCATGCTCTTCACAAAAGTTAGCAGAAATGGCAAATACTAGACACGGCTGTAAACCACAAACACTTTCCTAGCATCAGAGCTGCCTGCATGGGTGTGTCTGCTATAGATCCCATTCATGAGGTCCTGAGAAGCACCCTGACTATATTTTCCTCAAGATACAGGCCAAACAAATCCAGCTGATGCAGCATGGTGGTTATACACATATGGGGCTAAAACCAGTCTTATGTCCAGTCCCTTGCTACTGCTGGAAATATGAACATACAGAGCTGTGACACACCTGCATTTCCCAATACATGTTTTCCACCCCAGTTCTGTTCAGGCAAAATTTGATGATTTTCCAAATTTGTTTGGGATTTCTGGCATTTAACAACCTGGGCAGAGATGTGGCATATTATTTCCAAACAGGCTGCTGCATGTCTAGGAATCCCAAATCAGTCACGTAGCATCCAGTAAATCCAGCGTGATTGGCTGTGTCAGATTCCTTGTGTGTATGCTGGAACGCATATAGGCACAGGAAGCCCAACGCATCAAGGAGGCAAAAGTTTGCATGCATAAAGATTATCAGGCCAGCAAACGCACAGCAGCAGTTTTCAGAAGTGTAAACCCACTGTGCATATACCTGCACAAAGCATATACACATATCTCTGTCTGAACAGAAATATGGCCACCCTCTGCAAACATCAGCAGGCGCGTTGCACACTTCACACAAATTCCCAGTTTAAAAGTGAAGGAGAACTGAGTGCTGAGACTGGAATCCAAATGGTTATAATGTTCAGAATGATGCTATTTCAGATTTATGTTCTGAAACAAAACTGCAAATTCAAGAACGCTGAAATCCATACCCTTCGATCAGGCCTCAAGAATATTCAGTCCTTGAGAAAGCGCTCTTCCTATGTGTATCTTGATGTCATATGAGCAAGTCTGAAGAGGGGAGAAGATATCCAGGCTTCTACAATTAATCAACAGAATTGCATTCAATTACATTAAATCAAATGCAGTGCCATTTAAAATATTTCAGTACACTGCTTAATAAAAACATGGTTTTCCAGCAACCATCTGAATGTGCTAATTTTGAGCAGAACAAGAGCCTGGAAGAGACCAATTTAATTATTACCATCTTGTTTCTTCTCTTCCCTTCCAGTGTCCTGAATTTCTAGACCTTGAAAAATCAAAACTTAAATCCAAAGAATCCGTCTCAAGTGGAGTGCATCTTAACACAGCCTCAGAAGACAACCTGGCTTCTTTTTTAGATCAAGAACATGACCAGTCTGTAGAGTGTCCCCCACAGCATTGTAAAACTTGTCCCCAGCCAATTAGGCACCCTTCCTTGCCAGAATCTTCACTAAGCACTGTAGGAATCTTGAGTCTTCATAGGCATGTTTCTGATCCTGGTCTTCCTGGGAAATAATACTTTTATACTATTATTTCACATAAAAATGTAAGTGCTTTTAATGGCTGTTTTTCCTTTTTTTTTTTTTTTTTTTTATTTAAATCCTCTATACTTGACTCAGGGGCTACAAGGAATATACCATTATATGCAAAAGTACTGTATATTTTCCTAAATCTGAAGCTTGTAAGGTAAAGTTGGGCAGTTCTGATGTAAATATATATAAATACACACACTAACTGTATGTTCCAAATGTAAAACTGCCAGCATTCTCAAGGCACCTTATATTTTTATTTTTTTTAAATAACATGCATGTTCTGAAATTACAGTTTATGTTGCATGGAGATTACCATTTACTGCTGTCATGGAAATAGTATTTTATTGTGGATATGTCTTCAGAGCAAATACGAGACCAATTACAATAATTCACATAGAAAAAACTTCTACCTGACCAAGCTAAAATTCAAGCAAAATCTTCTTCTAGCTCACTTTTGAAAATTGATTTATCTTTCTTGTAGTGAGCTTTTTACAATAAATCACAATGATTCTAAATCTAGAAAAAGAATAAGGTAACCAAGTCTTCTGGGTTTGAAACAATTAGGACAGAGAAACCAGCCTCCTTCCAAACCAATTGAAGTATGGCACTATTTTAAGAGACAGGAAAACTCTGTCACACGCTGGAAAGTATCACCACAGGTCACATCCACAAAACTGCATTAACTGAATAATTCGTTTCCAGTACTTTTTTTTTTTTTTTAAATTGCATCATAGAAGTTAGCTGTCATGAGCAGGCAAGTATTCTTCATCTGTCACACAAACATAATCAAATGCAATAAATCTAATTTCTATATAATACAGAAGACTGTGTTCCTTTTGTTCAATACAAATCATTAACAATCTGTTTAATTAAAAAATACTTTACATATTTTTGTTTTATAATTACTAGGGTGGTTGTTTGCAGTTATCTGTTTTTGCTGACTGGCCCCTCTACAATGATCCTAGATAGGGTATATACATATGTGGACACACACATACACCATGCACACATTCCTGTATGTGTGCATGTGTGTATTTTATATATGTACATATGTGTGTACGTATGTGTGTATATATTTATATACACACATACACACAAGCGTGTGTGTATACCTACACTTACATGTAGGAGTACAGATATAGATATATATATATGTATATATGTAAAATCACTTTCAGGAACAATTGTAAACTTTCTTATTACAAAACAAGTAAGCTTAGCTTGTGTCCAAAGCTGACTACATTAGAATAAAATTATTTAAGGTCCATAGGCTTTAAATACAGTATGTACTGTATGTGCATAATGCTTTGTGAATACTTAGATTTAATTTTATTAAAATATTATTCTGCTTCAAATGTTGTGTTTATTTTAGAAGGAACTGACCTTTTTATTACTGTTTTTAAATATTTTAAAATGTTCACATAATTTTATAATCTTAAAGCTTTAATGTGAAGTTCCTCTAGGAAGAGAACTGGTTTCAGAAAAGCATGTAACCCAGTTAGTGGGGGAGCACTTAAATTTTAACTAAAACCAAATTAAACCCTCTGTTCTAAACCAGTGCTACAGAGTAATGCAATAGTAGCTGACCCTCCCATTAATAAATACATGTATTATATGTTGGGGTCAGAATGATACAGAATATTTTTAGTCATACACAGCCAGTAGATAAACCCAAGGTGGCTGAATCTTCTCTCACTTAAAGTTAGTGTGCGTGCTGAGCTAGGGTCTGCTTTATCTTTGCATTTAAAGGTACAAAAATGAATTAACTGAATACCTTTGTAAGTGAAAAGAGAAACCAACCCTTCCCATACAAGAGCAAATTTTCTTCTGCCTCATGCTACTGCTGATTGTTGAAAGGTCCAAATGCTACAAGGTGCTGACTGCTCTTACTTCTACCGTGGTGACAGGAGGTCTGCACTGCTTAGTGCCTTGCAGGATCAGATCCTAGGTGACAGCATCACTGGGCCAGTCAGAATCTCTGCCTGCATATACTCCATTGAAACAGGAGTGCTGAATAACAAAGTGAAATAGCTTCTGCTTTTTTTTTTTTTAAATTTTTAATAGCAAGTGTTAACAACTTCTGCTCTGTCTCAATCTGGTAACTAATATTAATGTCTGTTACAAAGAACAAGCTAGCACATTTTCTAAAAAATTATTTGTGGTTATGCTACATTTAAAAGAGTCTGGTATAAATTAAAAATAAAATTAATGAAAAAAGTAAAATGGATGAGCATTGCTTTACAAAATGCCTTTTGTCCAATTTCATCACTTGGTATTTCACATTAATGCAAAGAAACTGAGCAAAACGGGTGGATTGGGGAAGGAGTGTTGGGGAAGAGGAAAAGCAAAAACCATTTCCATTAGTCCAAGTGAAGGAAAAGCTCCATCCCTTGCTCATTTTCTTGGCTCAAAGAGGCTTTTTCCTTCCCTTTTCTTTGTATTTATCAAGAAGAAAAATCTCAGATGGGGGCAACTAAGGGAGACTTTGCAAAGTTACGGAGAGTCTAAACTCCCTGGACATCCGCCAATGAATGAAGAAACAAAACATGAAAGATGGCACTTGGTTGGCAATACTCTAGCTGCCCCTTCCCTGCCAAGGAAAGATTTGCCCTCTCAGGTACCTTTTCTTGTTGAGGTACAGTGGAGCACTTGAAGACCCACTGCTTCAAGCTTTTTTCTTCTAGAGACAGGTACAAACCATTGCTTTTTGAAATGTGTTAATTTTCTGAACAGCAAAAATTGTGTCTCCTTTTTTTTTTTGTTCTAGGCAGGGTTCCCTTTAAGCCCAGTCTTTTTCTGACTCGATAGAAATGGGTCTGTGTTATCCAAATCAAGCTGGGAGTGACATAATGGTTGCGTACCCACACATCACAATACACAGCTATAACATTTCCACAGAGACTTTCATGACTTTAGGGGATAAGTTTTGGTCTCGCTTGAGCTTAGGAACACTCATCTTAGCCATTTACATTTAAAACCTGTGGCCAAAAATACATATAAATGATAACTTGTAGGTACAGAGAAGTATCCTGGAGATTCAAGAATAGCTAATGTAGTTGAAGTATCAAAGCAATTGGGAGAATCACTCCAAATGTGAGAGGTGAGACGGTACAAATCAGCAGAGCTCTTCATGAAGTTCATTAGCTTCCACCGGCTGTGGGTCTAGTTCAATGTTTAAAGCAAACGATAGACCGCGATGCTTTTCAATATTTAAGCTGTGTAGCAACCTGCACTGTTTGCATGCATGTGCCCATCTACACACACAGATTTACAGTAACACACATTAAGTCGCGTGCCTTGCCCTACCTTTCCAGGAAGCAGTGACCAGCTGCATGCCTTTCTCTCCTTTCCCCTTCCCACTCTCTGCATGCAGCAAACACGTTTTCCAGCCTCCCATCTCACAGCTGCTGCCCATGGACGAACCTGTCTTCCCTTTTCCTGCTGCAGATTGTGTCCTACCAATCTCCTCTCTCCGGTGAGCACAGGTCACTCATCAAAGCTTCCGCATGACTGATCAACATTATGAGTAGCATCCGAAAAGCTGAACAGCACTGCTTCGCAGGGCCTCTGGCTGCCTGCTTAGGTGAAGCAGCTTGAGTCTTGCCCACAGATGAATTCTGTGTCCTCCCGTTTGAGAGCTGCTGAGCTAGCCTGGGCATGAATAGATTAGTGAGAGACTGAAATAGCAGCGTAGCGGAAAGCACGATTCCTTGAGTGAGAGTTGGACGTAATACTACACCTGCAGATTTGAAGCTTTGATGTTTCTATAGTCTTCTGTTAAATATTCTTACACTGTGAATATATGTCTACGCTACTGTTTAAATTTTGACTTTTCATATGTTGGCTTAAATCAGAAATAATTAATTCCAATGGAGCCAGTAGTTATATGCTATCACATTTTTCATCAAATTGGGAATTGGGTCCAGTGGGCACCTCCCCTCCATTCATCTACAGGCTCTCTCTGTACATACACACAGAATGATTTTTTTCCCCATATACTGAGCTCAGTCCTAAACAGAGCAACAGCTTGTTATTTTTAATAGTACTTCCGCAGACCCAGAAATTGGCTTTTCAATGTTTCTAAAATGTTTTTGTGCCATCAACAGTATAGGGGCATTTTCAATATCCCTGAGATAGTACAAAAATTGACTTCATTAAAGAAAACCTAAGAATTTTTCTCCACAAAAACATCTGCACAGGTTCCTCAAATGCACCACATAAGCGTGATATATTCCAAGCTAGTTGTACCAAGAAATAACACATAGCAGTTTGTAATTCATTGGTACATTGCCAACTTTAAATACTTGTCATTAAATACTTTTTGCATTTTGGGGGTAGTATTATAGACATTATTTTCCTCCCTCTTACATTTTTCAGAATCTCAGACTGGTGGTATTTTGTCACAGCAAAAGCAAATGGCTTCTAAAAGGCTACAGTTCCCAGAGTTCTTAGTTCTTGTAGAGAAATATAATTATATTCAGTCACCTGGAATTGCCTAAAATCCAGTAAAATTTTGACAATGAGAGAAATGATGGAAATGGACAGTATTTTTGAAAAAGCATTATTAATTATGCTGACATTGTACATGATTTTAGCATCCTCTGACTCTTAAACATGAAGTTCTGCTGCGTTTTGTTAATTAAGAGATGAGGCACAATGAATTTCTAGGTAGCAAAGACTGAACAGATTAAAACTCAAAAAGCTGAAAGCTGCTGCTTCCATCGAACCTCACTTTTTAGCTAAGGGCAAAGCTATTGTAAGACAGTCGTCTTTGGAAAAACTGTTAGATTAACTTCATCTATGGACACTCCAAGCGTGACTCACACTTTCTAGTTATTTAATGTTAAAAAAAAGCCTGCGTAGTTAAACTGACATCAAATGTGGATGCATGAAGCAGAAAAATTCTGCTCAGTGCAACCATTTTTTAGTTTTTTCATTCAGACAGGTTTTCAGAACAGGGTAATTCTATTCTTTTAGCAGTTTTTCAACCTACATGAAACCAAGCCATTAAAAAAGTTTTAGTAGAATGTTGAATATCCACAAGAGCTCAAGAATGAGCCTCATAGCCAGAAATAAACAGTAGAGATCAAAATTTAGTATCTTTTAATACCCTAATCCTTCACAGAAGGTTAGTGAAGACATGAGACAAGTCTAATGGAAGATAACTGCAATTCAAACATTAGCATTTACTCCCCATTTTGAAACCTCTAATTACCAGGTATTTCCAGGAATGAGAAAGTGGTGGCCCAGCAGATGAGACATACGAACTCACACAGCGGGTTTTACATTCGAGGAGGCAGTTGGCAGCAACCAACCACCCCTCTTCAGATCTGATTCTCAGTTTAATCTTCTCTTTCACCAAGACTGACATTTTTGAGGCTTGGCACCCACAGCACTGAGCTCTTCTGAGAAGGAAGCAATGCTTGTCACTGAGTCCTGTTGCCATACAGGCTAGGCATTCACTGCACTACATCTGTTGCGAAATAATGAACTTTGCTTGGAGGAAATTGCTGCCAAATTAATCTCGTGCTATCCTTGGTCAAGTCCAGATTGTTTCTATTCAAGTCAGATAGCTGACCTCCACTTCTTGACAGAGGTTCCAGATTCAGTATGAGTTAACAGTGGTGTATTAAGGGCATTACAGTAACCGGCAAAGCAGGAAACACTAACCTGGTGCCTAAATTCACTAACAGGAGCAACTACAAAGCGAATTAAAATGGGTCTGATAAGCAAGGTCTGTGTGCTGAGGCTACTGGTTTGTGAGTTTGGGGCTTTTTGTTTGGGTTGGGGGTTGTTTTTTTTTTTTTGCTT